AAGCTGTCTATTAGGCCGTTGGCAAGTGCCTACTATCACTCCAAGAGTCATAAGAAATATCTTTAGGTTTCAAAGTGAAAAACTCTGAAGTTATTGCCCAGTTTCTACAAGCAGAGCCTAAGACACGTAATGACAGAAATCTTGTCATGTAGTCTATGTCATCACAGATACTGAAGTCCTAATATTGGATACAGATTTGTGGTGACTCACAGTGGCTGGAAATAGTTCCAATGCCTTGTGATTTGTATCTGCCTGTGCTATAGGACTCAAAGCACATGGCATATCTCATCAGGCAATTCAAAGCCCTACAGGAACATTAAACCTGTACAGCCTTCACTTCAACTACCTTCCCATCTTGTTCTTTTATTTCTCAGAACCCTGATGCCCTGTCCATGTAATATGAGCAAATCCAAGTGGGCACCTAGCTTGTATGCTGCAGTGATTTTATAATAATATAAGGAATAAGTTCATCTCCTATTCTGACATTATTAATGGGCATTACTTTTTCATTCTTAAGTGGGGGAAGAGTGAAGGGGAATAAAGTAATGGTTTAGATTTAATGAGTGTACCCTCTCTACAAGTCAAGTATGTTAACAAAGATAAGTCATAGAAGCTATCAAGAACTATCCATTGTAGGATAGTTGTAGATAGTTGTAGATAGCGGTCATGTACCTGTATTACTAAGGTAATCTTCAAAAAGATCTTAACAAAAATTAGTCTTTCAGTCATCATTTCTTATCAGACAGCAAAGATCTTAAGTGAGTTGGCATTCCTATCAAATTCAGAATTCCTCTGGAGAACTTTACTCAAGATTTTTTAAGATGGTTTTGCTCCAAGAGGGTTATTTAAGAAAATGTTGTTGTTGTTGTTCTCATATTAGACACATGAGCTTAGATTCCATCTAAGTTAATCCTTGCTTCTTGAAAAGCTTGAAATCCAAACTCAATTTGTAAGCAAACATTTAAAAATTTATATATATGAAGCAAGGGATAATAAATAGTAGGTGCAATAAATAGTAGGTGCTACTATGTAAGTAGGATATAGCTGGGCACTGATCACTTATACCTGCGATCCTAGCTATTCAGATGACTGAGATTGGACTATTATGGTTCAAAGCCAGCCTGGGCAGGAAAAGAAGAAGCAGAAGTGGAGGAGAATAGCTCAGAAACAGCAACACGGGCCCTGAGTTCAAGCCTCAGGGCTGGCACACAAAAAAATAAGAGATAATATATTAACTATTTGAAAAATACATCCTGAGAGAAATTATTTCTATCACAGAAGGGCAGGTGGTTTATATCAAAGGATGTTATAGAAAATGCTAGAGGTCAAACACATTCATTCCCTCCTTCCCACCCCCCTCCACAATCCTCATAGATTGTATCATTATGACCTAAATGTTTTGAACTTCATGTAAAAGTTGTTTTTCTCCATGCAGAACCTCATAGTCTCAAATCATGTTCTATAATTACTTGAATTGATTCTCATTAGAAAAAGTGATATGAGAAACAAATCATAGCCTACATGTAGCTGATGTAGTAATAATTATCTATGCTTCTATCTCAGAGGCATATCATATATGCTCATGAAGCATGAGTACAGAAGAAAAATCAAAGGATGTTTTCTTTCCCTCAACTCTTTAGTTCATCTTTATATCTTCACTCTACGTGTTTATATTTCTTCCATGTCATGATGCCATTCAAAATATGCATTTTAAGGTATTTGCATTGGAGTAGCATAAATCTGTATGCAATGTAAATGGGTTGCTCAAGCATAAAACCTAAAGGCAACCATATTAGAATTTCCCAGCTCATGTCCCCTCCTTTAAATAAATAAAAGTATGTCAATCCCACCATCATATCTAAATTATTATGTCTACTTTGGCCATCACATGCTGACTGTATCAGTGAGAAAACCTTTGAAATACTCAGGGAATCCAAGTTTCACCAAAAATATAAACTGTAACAACACCACCAACAAAAAAACAAAAAAAAACCCAACACATCTGTACACCTAGTAACACTCATTTAACCCTTCCCTCCTTCTCTCCCTTCCTCCCTCCTTCCCTCCCTCCCTTCCTTCCTTCCCTCCTTCCCTCCCTTCCTTCCTTCCTTCCTTCCTTTACTTTCTTCCTCCCCTCCACTTCCCTCCCCTTCCCCTCCACTCTTCTCTCTCTTCTCCTCTCCTCCCCTCTCCTCCCCTGTCCTCTCCTGTCCTCTCCTCTCCTCTCTTCTCCTCTCCTCTCCTCTTCTTTCCACTCATTTCTTCTTAATTTTTTTGTAGTGATGAGGTTTGAACGAAAGGCCTAACACTTGCCAAGCAGGCACTCTACCACTTAAGTTACTATAATAGTCTGACATCTATTTCTTAATATGAATATTTTGATATAATACTTCATTTCCAACTTCAATAATAAATATCTAAAACTGAATATATATTTTTCCTCAAAGTAACACTTCTCTTTGCTAGAACTGCTAAGAGGATACAGGTCCTGAAAATTGTAACATAACTATTTGAAAAACAACATTCAATTCATCTCCTTTACTTGTCCTGAGGGATAGATATCATTTCTCACTGAACCACCATCAAAATCACCTTCTTCTCCTAAATGTCATTAAAAGAGCAGATGGTCAGAAATGTGGTTGAGATGGAATAGGAGGACTTGACAACAGTGGATTGAAAGCTGTTGATCTCTACCCTTTAGGATGTACCTTGAAATTTCATGACTAATGATCATCTGCATTTTGGGAATAGACATTATTTAACTCATGGAAAGGTTTATAAGGGTTGGCCCATAGGAACAAGGGCCAAGCCAGGATCAAGCCCTGACATGCCATTGTAGTTCTAAGCATATCCCAAGGTGCATTCTCTGCTCACACTCCCTATTCACTCCTCCTGAAGGTGTAAATACATGGGATATGTTTTTAAATGACCATTGTTTCAATCTTGTAAAACTAGTGCTTTTTGTGAAGTGAAAAGGTTGAGCAATATGATACCTATTAGTTGGGAATAAGAGACAAAGGATGCAGAAGGTACTGACAGAAGTATCTGAAATCACAAGAATGTTTTACACAAGCATCATCCAATGTGAGTATTCGATGTTTTACACATGCATTATCGAATGTGAATCCTTAAAATGTGGCTAGCCTGAGTGGAGTAATTAAATGTTAAAGTTCAAGTGCTATCTCATTTTTATCAAAGTAAGTTTAAGAAATGGGTAGCTTTTTGGAGTTAACAAACTGAGCAAGTATCCAAATGACACTTCACAGTTATCCTTCAAATTTTACAAAGATTCTACCCAATGCTTAATTTTCCCCAGAACTATTCTACAAATATATATATATATACATATATATATATATATATATATACATATATACATATATATATATGTATTACTTATACACATGAGTATGTGATTGTGAAATCAGTTTAGATTTTACCAGCCGAAACTATTTCAAGCTTAATCTATGGGTTTCTCCATGTTCTCCATGGCTTTACTGAGGGTGAGAAAGAAAAACAATTAAAGGAGCATGCCATTTTTTTTTTCACGACATCTACATTATAGTATCTGAAAGATAATCAAAAAAGGAAAAGAAAAGAAACCCATAATGGAGAATGCAAACTACCAATAATAATAAAAGAGAAACAACTTGGAGTGTTTGATGGGGAGGGAAGAAGATGTGGTGGATTAAAGTACAGTGATCTTTAATTTCCATTCCCATCAAAATAAGAGGTACACAGGTCAACAATCAGACAAAGTGGAAAGCTAGCAAATTTTAAAATGAGTTTTTCCAGCATAGGAGACTGCAACCAAAGGACTCAATAATTCTGAAGAGTTGAGAGCCCTTAAACATTATCCACTTCATATGGTTCCACAAATACATAAGTAATTTGAAACCCAGAGAAAGAAAGTACTCCCTGTGCCTTAGATAATATCTGAGCTTGGTCTCAGATCTCCCAATGTGTATCCTTCCACTGACTATCTCTCAGCCTCTGCTGAGCACAGACTGACCCTTGAGTAGATAAAGAGACTCATCTCTCGCCCTTGGGGCCCAACCGCTGGTGAACAGAAAATAAAATGTATTTTAATCACAATGCTCGCCTTGACAGAAAAGCTTCTTAACTAACATAGTAGACCTAAAGAATCAAGAAATTTACACAAGTTCACTAAATATGGGGTGGAAAAGAAGTTATAACAGAGGATGGTTTACATGGGACTATTTGTTGTTGTTGTTGTTCCACATGCCTTTTGTGACGCAAGTGGCAGCTTATACTGTATTCATAAGTTTTGTGGGTTCAGCACTGATAGTTCTGAGTTTCAAAGACAATGGATACTCAGTATGCTTGGATATTTCAGTAGAATGGGAAAAGATAGCAGGATAAAAAATAACTATGGTTATTTTAAGGAAAAAAAGACAAATGGTTATCCCTTTACAGCAAAAATATGGATGTAAGCAAGCTCAAAGCTCTAGATTTGCAAGAAACAAAACAAAACAGCTCAGGTGGGCTGATTGCAAAGAGGAGAACTAGATTTTAGAAGTTCTCTCTAGATTCTTTTATTATTCTAGAAAGCATAATGATATAGCTGACTTTACGTCAGAAAAAGGAAAAGTAAGGAACAATTAACCTGCCCATGTCATGGTTTTTGAAAAGTCTGTTATTGTCAATTAGAGTTATATTGTAGATGAAATGTCCCATGGTTTTCTTTGTCATTTCATGGCATACTAATGATAGGAATAAAATCATGTTTCAGGGACTATGCAAAAAAAAAAAAAAAAGATTAGAGAACAAATTTACTTTATTGCCTAAATTTCATCAGCTTGCTTGAGTTCTGAGATAATCTTCTATAGATAAATGCCACACTATTGCTGATAAGAGTGAAAGATAAATAACAGTGCACATTTTAAATGTCACGTACTTTGAATCTTGCACCGTGCTCTTATATGTGAATCCATATGAGACAAAGAAAATGCTAAAGAAATGTAGTGCTTGAGGCTTACATTCTGGTGCTGCCAGTCTTGTTGATGATTACAGATTTTCCTGTCTGATCCACATTGTGATCCAATCCAAAGTAAGCTGCCACCCGGTGGACCAGCATCCTCTGATAGGAAGACATCTGGGGGAACTTTTTGTAATGGTTACTGAAACACAGTTAAAAGAAAGAGTGGAGTCGGCACTTTCACTTCTCCAGAGTAAATTTTACAGGTACACACACCACTGTTCTTTTGCATCCAAACCACTAAAGCTCATTGAATTTCAGCTCCCCATTGTCAGATGAAATTTCCACTTGCTATAGATTCATTGATTAAGCTGCAATAAGGGTCATTGTTTCAGAGTCGCACATCACTCTTGCCAAAGAGAACTTAGTGTCTATTGAAAAATATTCTGCTTTAATCCATATCACTACATGCACTGAGCCAGGCACAAGACAAATGATGTGATCTAACACATGACTGCAAATGTCTATCTGGAGAGGTGTCATTACCCAGTTTACACCAAAAGCAACACAATTATTTCCAGACACAACTGATGACAGCCAGCTGGAGCTCATCAAAAAAACTGTAATAAAAATGAAAAGGGTCGCTTACTGTATGCTAATTAGTGGCCCCCAGTTTATGACCATTTTGTCAGAAATTTAACAAGCAAGAGCACCACATGATCCAAGTCACAGCTTGCATCAGTGTCCAATTCCCTCCTCCAAAACCATCTTCATTTGACCAGTCAAAAATCATGTTAAACAATGCTTTATCTGTTCACTCCAGAAGGAATAATGAAACCCAAAATACTAAACTAAGACACATTATAAAGTTTGCCAGCATTGCAATTCACATACTTGGTGTCACCAATGAAATCAATAATTTCCTGCTCCATTTTCAAGAGTATCAGCCTGTCCCTGCAAAACAAATGTTAAAATAAAAGTTTTCAGAGCGTTTGTATTTCCCAAGGACTTTAATAATATATTAATTGCCTGGTTGGCTTATTTATGCTTAAAAATATATAGCTAGTGTATCTTTGAAAACTGCTAATCATTTATTTGCATATTATTTCTCTATATTCAAGATTATCTTTACAGGGATTTCATAATTTCTTACTGGTTCTTAAGGTTGTTTATGGCATGCAAGGTATTAGGACTGCAAAGCATGACATATAAAAATAAGTTTTAACTTAACTGGAAATTGGAAGGTCAAAGAATTCAAGTATTGATTTTAGATAGTTATGTAAACTATTTGGAGCATCACTGATTGATTTAACCTCAGTCATTTTTTCTTTTTGCTTATTAGTCAATTATCTTTTTATCAACAAGAGAGTAAACCTGGTGTTAACTGGGTGTTAAGGCCACCTGCAAAAAGTAAAATGCAAGCCACTAGTAGGAAATAGAAATGCAGAACATTGTCTCTTTAAGACACACACACACACACACACACACACACACACACACACACACACACTACGCACCACACACACACACACACACACACACTACACCTGCCTTCTTAGAAGTTGTTTGGATTGATAACTTGGTAAGATTCTATTTGAACCTACTCAAAATAAGAGGCTTAGTTAATAATTTACCTGGAATTATTCTTTAAAGTGTTAATCAGAAATTCGTGTAAGTCTATGCCTGTGGAATCCGTATATTCTTGGCTGCAATCTGCAATAAACAGGATGGAGTTGTCAGGAACGATGGTGGCAAGGTGGGCCAGAAAAGGATTTGTCAACCTTTTTCTTTCTGCTCAGGTTTAAATTTGAGATGAAATGACTGCTATGAACATATTCCTTCCCCCAAACCTGCAACCTGACAGGATAGCAGCAGAATAAAAATGAGTTTGGAGAATTGAAGGGCTCCTAACTGCGGAGAGACCTCAATGTCATCGGAGGGGAAGGGTTCACGCACCGGTGCAGTGTGGGGGTGCAGGCAATGATCACGCATGCTCTCTGCGTTGGAACCAGACAGCCTTCATGTGACAGGTACTCCCAGCACACGGAGATCTCACAAGTTTGAGACCCCACAACACCCGTTTTCTCTTAAAACAGAGAAAGTTAAAAAAATAAAAATTCTATTCTAAGAATATCTAAAGATTGATTTCTACAAAACCGAAGAGGGCATTAAATACCTCCACGTCTCTCAGACCTCCTGATGCTGGATAAAGCTTGTTTTCTAGCACTGGTTAATGATCCAAACTGCTTTTCTCTCTGTACACCTTGAGTTTTGCATAGCAGCATCAGAGACAATCTTACAAGCAGAAATGTAGTTATAGAGTGATATTAAGAGGGACTGTCATTTCTCAACAACTTGTCAGATGCTGGATTCTTTATCAGATACTTAAAAAAAACCAAAAACAGCCTCTTCCAGGCCATGCATCTAAGGGACTCTTCTTCATGTGAACTTGTTATACTTTGTACAATAATTTGTATGACAACAATTTGAAAAGTCTGGACTATAAGCCCATGGATTTAGGAGGAATGTCTCATTTTTTGGAAGCTATTTATTGAAGTAGAGTGATACTTTTAAGGGAAACATCAATTTTGACCATAGATGTGAACAAGATCAAAGTCTTCCATGTCAGGTAAGATGTCATTCAGACAGCCCATTGGAGTATCCGTCTGTGCTTTGGAGACTCTATCATTCATTGAAGGAAAACCATTAATACAAAAAGATGTCTGTTGAGATTGTTTTGGGAATGGGGTGGAATATGAGGGAGAGTGATGGAGGAGGTGAATCTGATAAATGTATCTTGTAAGCATGTATGCCCATGCCACAAGGAACCTCCCTTGTACAACTAATTCAGAAGAGTGAAGAAGATGTGGGAAAGCTGCTATTCCAGTTGCCATGTGTCTATTAAGACTTTCAACAATCCAAGTCAACTGTTCTAACAGACCTGGATTTGAGAATATATCTATATTACACCCTTTATAGATACTGGTCCTTGGAAAGAAGAGATTTCATTGTGAATCCGAAGAAACATATGTTTCTAAGAACAATCAGTCTGGCTTCATAGATGGACTATGAGAAGAAAGAAAACCAAGTTCATATCTTTTACACACACACATACTACACACTAAACTTCTTGTGGTGTCTGCCAGGAGGTGCAGATTTGGATACCATCTGGACTGTGATCTGCTTTAGGTGTGCCCCAATTGAATACATGAAGAAAACATGATCACATTCACCTTTGGATAACATTCTGATCTTGGGTTTTTCAGAGGTTTTATCTTTGTTTTTATCCTTTTCTTTTTCTCTTTCAGAGTCATCTTTCCTAGATTTATCCTCCTCTTGCAGGCTGGGGAAACTGGAAAGCTGTAAATGAATTGATTCCTGTTGGGGAGAAAATATAATAATTTAGGGCCAGATTTAATCATCTTGATCTGGTTTCCATTTTGCAAAGAGGATATTAAGTACAGGAAAATGAAAGCCAGGAGCAGATTTCTCTCTCTCTTTTTTCCTTCTTGAATGGTTGAAAAAAGTCAGAAAAATAATTGCCCTGTAAGGTGAATTGAACTTCAGAAGTCAATGCGAGGGCATGAGAAACATCTAGTATTAAAACTTTGCCTCATGAATATTAACTTTAATCAAATTAAATTCCTGTAGATCACAACTAGTATTTTCTCTACAGGTTTATTTTTAATTCCTCTGTCAGCAAGATTACATCAGAGCTACTGTCAGGTCTAAAACAAGACTTCTGTTATAACTCCTAATAAGGAAAAATTGGCAGAAACAAAGATAGACAGATTTTTAAGAACCATAATTACACACAAAACAGACATTAAACCCCAATAGCAGTTTACAATAAAAACACTATCATAGAACTATGTCAGTGATGATATCTACTACTATCATAAACTAAATGATGTAACAATAGGAATTCCAAGCATGGATTAACGTAATTTGTTTGAGATAGCACTAGCAGATCATTATAAGTTATAGTTAAAATAAGTGCTGCTTTGTAGAAGCAAATTGTATTTCTGTTAATTATATATAAATATAGTTTTAAAAAGAATAGTGTCTGTTAACGTTCCAAAATAAAAGAATTATCCTGAATTGGTGATATGATTGGTATAATATCAACCCTTTACAATACTAGAACTGGACTTAACTACTGTGTGCTAAAAAAATCATTATTTTATATGAATTCACATCTAATAATCATTTGTTTCCAAATATGTTCATTAGTTTGAAGAAAAATGAGCCTAATAATGTTTTTTGTGATTTTTTTCTTTTTGAATAAACTGTGCTATGATTAAAACTATTGAAAAAAATCCTATGCCCATTTGTTCTCATGTAAGAGATCACTTGGTAGGAAAGTCTTATGCTGTAAGGGCCAAATATTCCCAGTGACTGTGTATCTAAAAGCAAAGCTAGTATGGCATCTCCCTACATGTGACCAGATGCTCACTCTACATATGACATGGGAGCTTGACTCTCAAGCACTCTCCAAGCAGGGGTTCATAATGATATGGTACAAATTTTGATAATCTAACAAGTGTAAAACAAAAGTTCTCTGAAGCTACTACCTCTCTTTGTTTGAGAGGGACCCCATTATGAACTTCTGGCTTGAATAGACTCATTAGGTAGAGGGGGGGGAATATGATATAAAGAATGAGGTAAAACTTGTTCTCATAAATGTTTATCTATGCTGTGTTTTATGAATTCTCTGTATTTATCCTGGAGTAGGACATAGCACAAAGTATGTAAAACGGATTGTAATTTGGTGGTGGACTTTTTTATCACATGGTTTGAAGCAGCAAGTTCTTAATCTGCAAGGATTCCCATAGGTTCTGGGGTTAATTGGCTTCTTGTGATCAGGAAATACTGAGCATTGCACACTAAGAAGACATAGATGGGCCTGTGATGAGGTAGAATGAATTTATCAGCTGATGAAGAGGGAAACTCTGGCACTGGGACCATGGTCTCATTCTTTCTTCAAAACCAATGGAACCAACCAGCCTCTGTAAGTTTAAATCTAAAATTGAAGAGGCTGGGAAACATAAATGCAAGAGCACAGGAAAAAGACATCCACTACGCAAAACAAACTGATGTCATGTGTTGACAAATACTGTACTCAGAAAAGAAAGAACAGCTGTATTTTCTATACATAAAAACACATTAATGTGTTGAAAGAACACACAAAAGTGCTTAGAGTTGGTAAAAAACAATCTCTTATTTTTTAATATTTTTATTGATATGCTCAATAATAAAATACAAGTGTTAAAGAAATACATTGGTACAGGATAAGTTTATATCCAACAACAGTAAGAGAATGGTTCAAGTTGCAGAAATACACTGGTAGGCGAGTAATATAACATTAGAAAAGCAAACTTCCTTTCACTCAAGGAGAGACTCAGGTGTGGGTCTGAGATCAAGTAACACAGGCAGAAAGGGTCCCACAGGAAAATGAAGGCAATGCTCCAAATAATGTGGCCATACAAACACCAGGAAAGGGATACCATCCATGTACTTTGCACTTCTGCCACTGTTCTCTGGGATTTAGCCCACATTTTTTTTCTTGTTTTTCTTTTTTCTTTTTGTAAGTGCTGTTGATATCTAATGAAGGCATTGAATCTAAGCTCAAGGACAGGCTGCTTTATTCTCTTAAGAAAGTAGCATAGCCTCTTGATGACATGTGTGTATGGGAGGATATTTTCTGCGAGTCCCATGTTCCCACCATTCCTCAGCTAACCAAAGAAAAGCATGCAGGCTCTAGTTCTCCCTACAAAGCCAGTCTTGTTTCCCGAACTTGGAATCAGCAGCAACAAAGCACCGTTTCAATCTTAGTTCTCTGCACCAATGGTATGGAGAAACTAGACTTAGGTCGAGGATGGGTACTATGATATAGATAATCTCTTGCAAAAATTCAACCTATGTCTTGTCAAAGGAGACAAAAATGCAGATTGAGTCCAGAGAAAGCTATCCTACTTTGCTTGGCATTAGAAGTAGGAAACAACTGGGTCATTACTTCTCCCAGAGTCTGTCATTTCTCAGAGTGAACATAGGGCATGTGCAGTACATTACAAGCCATCAATCAACATTTAATAATACAAGCCATGATATTCACATTATTCCCCCCTTTCAATCTCCATTAAAAATAGAAAGCACAAATAAAATGCTGAAGGAAAGCCACACATTTCTCAGAGCCCAAGTAAAATAAAGCATGTATATGAAACAGAGTAATGGCTACTGAATGATAGCCTGTCTGTGCCTTAGGACATGAGTAGCATGTCAAGAAAATGAAGCTAGGAAAAAAAAATACTCTTAGGACAAAAATCTATAAGGAATTTATTTTTGGTCCTTTTAAAGAAAGTGCTCTCAATACTCTCTGAATTGACAAACAGAATTTAGAGGGTTTTAATTAAAGTAAGAAGAGAAACATGAAACAAAAGCAAACACAAATAATGATATCATAATCAATTTTCCCTCCCTTGGGCACAGACAAATCATTTTACAAATAGTCTTGACTGCTCTCAGCCTCTGAGAAAATAAGCAAAATTTTGGCAGCAAGACTATTTTTATAGAAAGTTAATGTGATGCCTAAAAGGCAAATGAAAATAAATAAGATGTGAAGTTTTCCATTTTGTTATGGAAGAGTTTTGTTGGAATTTAAATTTTAGACCCTAAACATCTTTCTGCAAGGAACAAAAATAAATGTAAGGGTATGCAGCAATATATTAGTAATATCAAGCTCAGATTCATTTCTGGACAATATTTTGCAATACCAAGAAGCTCCATCATAAGCCATAAAAGTATTTCTCTAATGTTCAGTGGACCTTATTCGTTATTCCTTTAAGTCTCCTATGAGCCAACTGCTGAGTTTCTTATAGGCAAGTGTATTTTGGGGAGTTGAGGTAAGTCATCTCCAAAAAGGAAGGAGATGGGGTAACTTGGGACTTATTTGGTTCAGCCTTATCAAGAGAGAGAGCCTTTGAGGAAGTTCAGCACTACTGTGGTTACTTTTTAAAGTATTAATCTAAATTCTTTTGATTTCCTTCCCATTTGCAGTGTTCAGAGAGTCTGGAAAAAAAACAAACGTAATACTCTGTAATAAACTTCAAAAAAAAACAAAAACCTCTTGGAAAATGTCTCATCAATAGAAGATGAAGCAAGTCAATTCTTTCTTCAGTTTGGTATTTTCCCCCTCCAAAACACTGTAGTTAAATGCCCAATGAAGCATCATGCACACAAAGACAACTCCAGCTCATGCAATCAACAATACTGACAGGGGGTATACCTGATCTTGAAGACCTTCACCCCCTGGTCTGGCCGATGACTCCTCACAGACTGCAAGACTCCGGGTCAGTTTACCTTTTCCAGCTCCTGACTGAAGTTGGGGTTGAGAAAAGGGAAGGAATGGAAAATAAAGGCATAAAGAAAAACAAACAGAAAGGCTTCTCCGGCAATCAATCAACTTATCTCCAGGTTCCCAAATCAAAGTTTTTTACATCCAGGCTCAAAGACTGATGCTTGCTTCTGTGTCTAGCAAGGCTAAGCATCAGATCTTTTATATTTTGCTGAGGATAGAGGGAAGAAGGATTCTATGGACGAACTGAGGAGACAATTGTAGCTAACTGTGACCATCCCATCGGGGTACATGAAGTATGAGATGATGAGATTTCATGAATATATTAGGAGAAAGAAAATCTGCAAAACTACTTTCCCCTGAAACTAAGTTTGGAGAGGCTTTGACTGGGAAGATATATGAAAGAATGAAGTATGTGTGGAGAATAACTGTACTTGTTTACTTCAAGACAGGTTTCAGTTACTGAAACTAAAACATCGATTCCAAGTTTTATTTAAAATGAAACAAACCAAGTGGTTCTGTGTTTAGTAAAGCAGCACCAAATCTCCAAGCAAAAATAAAAGAGGCTTAGATGTACATATGCACAGCTATTTAGACTCAAAAGAAGCATTTAAATGAGAAGGCAAGATAGTGAGAGAAATCATACAAGTGCAACTCTTGATATCTGAATTGTAAACCCCATGTTGAACTGAGATGAGCAATGAATAGTTTAATAGATGATAGGATCTCAAGAGAGACTCTCAAACCTTACCTTGGATTTTCTTCTCTCTTGGTTCTGAGCTGCCAGCCGCCTCTAGGTGTTGAAAACAAAAGAGAACAAACAGTAAAGCGATGACAGAGACAGAGAGACAGAGAGTGGTATCATGATGTATAGCAGAGAAATCTCTATAACAGCTATCTAAAACTTTTAGCAACTTATTAAACACTTTGAACCTATTAATTTCTAGATATTTCTCCGTACAGCAAACATAGGAAAGGAGCAAAGCTAGCTTTAAAGGGATCACTGTGAAGTTGCAAGCCTTATAGTATAAACTACTGGCATATAAAAAGAGTTAATACATTTATAGTTTAGTTCATAGAAAATCATCAATACAGCCTGTTTGCAAGTTCTGTTCATATTTCCTCAATCCAATCTTTCCCTTGTAAATTACAGTATAGTTGATCAGGAGCTTTCCCCTCTTCGCTGGATCATTCTCAGCCTTCCCCTCCTTCTTTCTGGTATTCTGACTCTATGGGTGGGGTTTCTTAGCCTTAGGTTTCTGGGATAATAAGATTTAAACCTCAGCTTGCTATGAATGTCAACAGAGCTCATAGCTGTCTGGCATTTCATAGCTGTGAGTTGAGATTGCACCTTTCCATGAAATAGCAAATCCATTTCTAAAATTCAGATAGCCTAAAGTTACCTCTGACGAATACATAGACAACACCAACTGGCCTAGCAATCCACATGGGAATGCTGTGGGGGAAATTGGGCAATTAACTATGTTTCATAGATAGTATTCATTTCAAAATGCATTCTATACTGGGATTTAATCTGGGGAAATACTAGTCTTAAGAGGAATACTAGTCTTAGGAGATTTCATAATCATTATTTCAAGTACTTGAACTCCTACAACAGCAAACTCTTTTGAATGTTCTACAATTAAAGGAAGCAGCATGCAGTGGACTGATACCCAGGGTCTCTGCAGGCTTACCTGTAGTTCCAGCTTCTCCTCTTCATCCAGACTTTCTGATTTTACTATGCCATTCTCTGGAGCAGCCTCCTGCTCCGTCCTTCCTTCCTCTACTATGGCCTGGTTCAGGTCTCCTTGCTCAGACATTCTCCCAGATGTAACTTAAAATAACAAGGTTTTATGCCCTAGAAGGTTGCAGTATCAGAAAATACAATCAATGCAGGTGAAGTGTTTATTGTTATTTTTGAGACATCTCATTTCTCTCTGTGCATTCAAATTCAAATGAACAGCACAGGCATTGTACCAGAGTTACACAGAAAGGAGGAGCAAGGCGAGATGAGACACAAGATGCAGGTGCAGTTTCCCATCCACTTCTCAGGCTAACAGGCACACACACTTGTGAATACACCTTCTATCAAAATGGACCAGCAAACCTCTTAGTGAAGACAAATATAACTCCCACCTAACCTCCAGTGCCCACGTCCCATTGCAAAGTAGAATAAGAAAATGAGACTATAACTCCTGAACAAATGCCTCTCAAATTCTGAAGCGAGACCTAGTACTGATCGTCTGTAGCATCTCCAAGATGACTCAACAAATATTTTTATGGTTCAACTATAGAAACACTCCCTGAGGTACAAGGCATAGAGCATACTTTTCCAGGTTCAGATCTCAACCAAAGAAACAATAATTCAGCTACAAATTTGGCATCTAATTTTGGCAGTATACCATCCAGGGTCAACATTTTCAGGCTTCAGACTGACAGCTGCATTATTAAAAGCCTAAGCCAGGCTCCTGTCAGCTGTCTTGGCTTCAGGCTCCTGTGGAAGGAAGACGGTGGCTCTGATGAAGCCCTCCTACAGCACTCCCTGCCCCTAACCGACTACTATATGGACTGCAAATGGCTCTTCAGTGTGAAATCCTGTTCTTTTTCCCTCCCTACCTCCACAAAACCCTTGATGCCTATTCACTCTCTGGTGTGCGGTCAAATGAGAACCATTAAGAATTTGACATTTATTTCTTCCTCAGTTTTTAAGTGATGTGAAAGAGGGAGAGAGGGAGGAAGGAAGGAAGGAAGGAAGGAAGGAGGAAGGGAGGGAGAAAAGGAAAAATGGACAAAGGGAGAAAGGGAAGAAAAAAGTAAAGGAAGAAACGGTTGAAGGGAAAGAGAGAGTGAAGGACACACACAAATACAACACACACACACAGAATATAACTCAGAGAGCAGGTTCTTTCACAAACTCAAGTAATGACTTGTTTAATTGTTACAATGGCAATTATTACTGGACAAATCAGTGCTTTGATATGCTTCTCTGAGAGTATTTAATTACAACTGACTAGTTATCTGCTTTTTGAATGGAAATAAGCAAGAGAAAAATCTACACCGCAGCAATTTTTATTGGTAATCCACTAAAATCTACCGTGACAGAACAGATGGTATATAATGATCCTTTTGAAGCATACGGGCTCATTTGGCAAAGGATTGTGGGAATGCAAAAAGAAAAGTTTCCCTAAAGAACAGTAGTTCAAGTCTGTAAGTGAGCGAGTGCTTTTCAGGTTGGGAAAGTTTGAAGATCCAGTTCAGTGGCTTTCAGTGTGTGTGGTTAACAAAATAGAAAAAAAAAATCTGTTCTCCAAGGACACAGCTTGTTTCTCAGTGTATTGGGTAGGGGGAGGAGAAAGGACTTTTGTCCTTTTTTAGAATTTTTTTAGCTCATTTCAGAAAAAACTAAAAACAAAAACAAAAATCTTTAAACAGATCGTGACCAGATTTGAAATGGAATTCATTAATTGAGCACCAATTTTCCAAACTACAAGCCAGCCAAGTCCCTGATACAGATCCTGTGCACTCATGGTAGTTTTATTCAGTGATCTATTCTAGGCAAAGAGGTATAATCATGTAAGAAAGAATGAAGCAAGAACAAAGTGGCAGCCAGACAAGACCTTTACCTTTCCCGTAGAGTTCTTGTTGTAGGTCTTGGCGACTTACTAGGCAGCTTCTGTTGCTCCTCGCCGGAAAAATCCACACAAGTGATCCCAGACAACGGGTGTCCCATGTCCACATTAACAGCTCAGAATACCCATCGCCATGCGGTGCCCTTACACTGTTTGACACATCATCGTCAACCTGAAAAACACACAAAAAGTAAATAATAATCATTGCAACATTCATGGCAGCGCGAAGCACAAGATAAACAAGACAGGGTTTCTAACACTAATGACCGGCTTCCAGCAAATCAAGTTCGTGGCTTGATCCAGCTCCACCTGTCTCAGGGCTGCTTGCTTCTTCTCTAATGAAGGCTACAGCCTGCTGTTCAAGTTAGAGCGGCACCCACGCAAGGAGCTAAAATTAACAATTGCATTATGCACCGAAGATTACTCACTTCAATTTTAACCTTTTTTAGTGAAATCTCGCACTTTGTATTAAAAAAAAAATACATAAGCTCGTGTGTTTGCTTCAGTGAGAGTCAAGATCACCTCGGAGCAAAAAAACTTGACTCCTTTTTTTTTATTTTTAAAACCAAAGCCTTAGTCTTAATTATAGATTAATAGGATACATTTTTAATTCTGTTTCGGTGACTACTTTCTTTCTAAGACTTGCCTTCCTGTAGTATCTTTAAAGGCTTTGATTTAATGAAGTGATACCAATGAAGTTTCTTTCTTTCTTTTTTTTTTTTAAAGAGAATGATGAAAAAATAAAACTTTTGTAATGGCTTGGCTAAGGAAACATTGTTTTCACTCCACTTAGAATTCGGGAAGAATTGCTAATATTCCCATTGCATGATGAACACAATCTACACCCCTTCCTTCTCAACAGCACTGCTCTGCCAGCTGGGTATTCTTTTTTGACAGCAAAGAAACCTTGTCATAGGGGTGCAACAGATTTGCTAACTCCAAGCCTGTTGAAAACAATCCATGCTATAATGTGCACTTGCTTTTTCTCGCAACTCCTACAGGAGCAGTGGCAAAGACAGCTTGAATGCAAACATAGAGACGGGCTCCTAATAGCGTTTGCCAACACTAGACTACAATCCCCTGCCTTTCCCTGGAGTGTTCCTGGGGCACACCCGCTGACTCCTCCAGCTCACACACCTCTTCCTGAGTATCTCCAGCCACGAACAAACTGGCTGTGTTTTAGTTATTTGGTCTAAAGTTTGGAAATCCAAGTGTAATTAAGCATGGCTGGATCCTTATAGGGTTGTTGTTGTTGTTGTTTTCCTTGTGGGTTTATTAACAATGTCTTTGGTTGCAAAGCCATTTACTGTGCAAGAGGAAAATGATTTGAAAATACAATCACCTTTACAGTCAATAATTTCTCAATTTAAATCACTTACATTAGTCAATATTTCTGGATTTTTTTTCAAAATTTTGTATTAAGATCAATACTTTAGCTGTAAAATCAGGTCATAGGTTGTTAGAAATCATACAATTCTGAAGCAGATATGCATTGAGAATTAAATGGGTGGCTAATCTACATGATTTCAAGTCCTCAGTTTTGACCAGTTTTCACACAGTGATTGTAACACCTGGTATTAAATAGAAGCCACCATTACTTAAAATTAGTGTCAACTAACAAGCTCATTATCAAATTTGTCTTGGAAAAAAGGTTAGATGAAATGACCGAGGTGAGATTAAAACTACCAAATTTTTGGGGGATTCTGTTTTTCTTCCCCCCTCATTGAACAAAGTTGTCAAAAATAATTGCAACCCTCTTGTGTCACCCCTTTTTTGCCGATCATGTTCATGTTTGGACATTGGCCTTGATTCTGGCAGGTGAATGGCAATGCAGTTTCTAGTCCAAGCCTTCCTTAGTACATTATTCCAACATCAGTAGGAGGATGCAAGATATAATTCTTCCCATGAGGAAAGAACAAACTGGTATTCACGTAACTAGCTCAAAGTGCTAACAGCCTGGATATATGTGTGTGCATAATTACCAGGACACGTTTTGAAATAGCATCGAGCTCTAAAGTCAGAGAAGTATTATTCTTGCCTGCCTGAATCATAAAGTCATCATCCAGCAAGATAAAAGAGACTATGGGCATATGGGAGTGAGCAGAGAGGAACATATGGATCACAAATATTTTAGTAACTGATTAAAATTGTGCTCTTTGCTAGAAGAGCGTTGCCAGGAATCCAGCCTTTTCCTAGCAATCTCCACTGCTGCTCAAGCTCAGTCTCTTCTAAGTCCTCTCATTTTCACGCACATAAAAATGAAAATAAAAACCCAGACCATATTCAAGAAGTGCTTTTTTCTGTAGCATTTTGCTAAAAAATTTATCTTACTTACTTTTTATTTTCATAATTGGAATTTCTCATTATAAGCTTTTTTATAATGAGAAATATTATTTAACCACTTGTTTTAAAATACCATTATTTTAAAATGCCATTGATGGTTGATAAGAGAAGCCATGGGAAATTGATTAACAATATCACCAGCTATTTAGAATAAAGAAAATGAGAAAGATAATTGTTACTTATTTTTATATTTATGCTTTCTATCTTGCTTTGGAATTGAAAACAATAGCAATTAGAATTTTGGGGATGAATTGGCAAATAAATGAATGGATCTGGAAAGTAAGTATAATTATATATAATATGCATAATATATAATATAATATTTTATAATTATAATAATCATATAGTTAAGTAAAGTAAGTCTCGTATATAGAAGCTATAACTATATTTATAAATGTACAAGTAAACACATACAGGGTCGTACACAAGTGTATAAAGTATATTAGCTGAAGCATGGTAGTTACAGAAGAGAATTCAAATAGTATTACTCCTTAGAAAAGCAAACTCATAATCCAAAAGAAATGAATGCCAGGAAACTGTCACTTGAAAGGTGTGTATGGGAAGTCGTCGAGGGGTAGAGGTTAGATGAATGAAGAGAGAAAGGGATGAGAAAAGGGCATAGTCCAGTGCATAGTCTATGAAAATTGAAGAGAAGAGCTGGGTTGGGAGAGAGGGAATGGAAGAGAATGAATGCTGACATTGGTCAAGATGCATTATATAAATAAGCTGATTTGTTGAATGGTAACACCTTTGTACAATTATTTAAAGATAATAATATTATAATAAAAAGAAGTGTGAAGATGAGGAAAAAAAGAGGCAAAGGGAGAAGTACAACCTTAAACAGCAAATGTTGTTCCATTACCACCAATAAATTAATTCTCTCCTAGTTGTGTGTGTGTGTGTGTGTGTGTGTATGTGTTTGTGTGTGTGTGTGTGTGTGTGTGTGTGTGTGTGTGTGTGTGTGTGTGTGTTACATATATTGATCACTGTGCTGCCAGGAAGGCAAGTCAAGACCTAGCTTTTACGCAAATTCCAATAGTGATGTAATCTTCAAAGAATCCAAATGGAAATTAAAGTTGAATTCTGTATTCCTTGTGAGAGTCACAATACTAATACTAAAAATTAACATAGAAATGCTTAATCTTATCATACCTAAATCAATCTAAATATGGAAGGATAAAACAATACAGCCAAATTTTACTCATCTGGACAATAAAAAAATTTCCTCTCTTGGGGGAGGGAAGGGATAGTGGAAGAGCAACAAAGGAGGGGGTAACAATGCTCGGCATGAAATGTACTCATTACCTTACTCATGTAAGTGTAACCTCTCTCTACAGCATCTTTACAATAAAATACAATTTAAAAATTTCCTCTCTACTCATACTACATGGCTGGTCACAGCTCTGCAGATAAAAACCTCTTCTATACTGCAGTGACAATGGTAATTGGTTTATTTTCCACTTAAGGTACATAAAGTCTGCACGATCACCTACAACAGTTCTTCTGCTGAGGTTCTACAAAGATTTCTAATATGCAAGGTTATATTTAAAGAGAGTAATCCTTGATGAAACCAGAGTAACAATGGCATGAACAGAACTACAGATCAGAAGTTTAACCAAGTCTAACGTTTTCCCAGTGACAAAAAATAAATCATCAAAGAGAAACCTTCACATAAATTTAATTTTTCAAAGAAAGTCTTATTCTCTCATATATGTACAAGAAACATTCAACCAGGAACTTAACATTGTAATTAAACTCTTGGTCAGCTCAATAGCTAGGCATTCTGGAGTCATCATGAAAATGGAAAAAAATACATGTAGGAGAAGAACTTGCTATCTGAGAAAAAGGATTTCAGATTAAAGGCTCACTTCTGTAATCCTAGTTACTCAGGAGGCTGAGATCTGAAGATCATGATTCAAAGCCAGCCTGGGCAGAAAAGACCCTCTTATCTCCAATTAACTATTAGAAAACAGGAAGTGGTGCTGTGGCTCAAAGTGTTAGCTTTGAGCAAAAATAGAGCTAAGGGATAGGGCAGGCCCTCTTTCAACCCCATGACCAACAACAAAAAAAAAGAAAAAGAAAAGAAAAGAAAGAAGGAAAAAGGATTTCAGGGTTATGACTTTAGGGAACTGGAGTGCTTTACGTAAATATTCTTATTTCAGCTTAGTTTAAGAACAGAAAAGCTCAAAAGCTATGTACATATGACCAGACAAGTTGATGCTGTGATATGACCCCAAGATATGGATACAAGAGGTCTTTCTTTGTTGTTGTTTTTAATGTACTATGTGAGTTTTTTTGTTTCCTTTGTATGTTCTTCCACCTTTGATATATCCCCTTGATTTTGATACCCTGTATCTTGTATATACATTTATCTGATTTGGGGAAGGCAAGGGGAATAACAAAATGCTGAAACAAGGATATAGAATGACCCATTGCAACAATGATACCCACAAGAAACTATGCTAGAAATGAACTTGACAACTTCGGGGGTAGGAGTGAAGGAGGTATAGGAGGGAAGGGATAATAGGAGAAAAACAAAGGAGGAGGTAACAACATACTCATTACTTATGTAACTGTAACCCCTCTGTACAGCATCTTTACAATACAATAAAATAAAAAGACCCAAGCAGTTTAAAAACAAAGAACTCAAATGAAGAATTGCTCCTTTTTCTGCCCAGACTGGCTTCAAACTATGATCCTAAGATCTCAGCCTCCTCA